ACCGTTCGCGCTTTACTCCTGTGTGTTTGTAGTAATGCTTTCTTCTCTCAGCGCATCTGCTTGATATCACCGTTGAAATCGAAAGAAAAGATTAAAGAATTGTTGTATAAAAATATATATTAAAATGAGATTATTTGGACACTGTATGAATGTTAAACGCAAAGTTCAATAACATTCGTACTCGTTCTGCATAATGCTCGATCTACTTTGAGCTCATGCAGGCACCCTGGTAAAGACAGAATAGGGGCAAAAGAATCATTTATCATTGGTCGATTGCGTGTATTTTATGAGAAAACAATTTTCCTGCAAACGATGTCAAACGTTAGATTATAATATCGTAATAGCGATAACACGGCAAATAAATTGCGCAGAGACGGGCGATGATAAAGAAATGTAGTATATGTGATAAAACTCCATAGATTATCACATCACAGAAAATTGCAATAAGTTATCGTCGCGTAATGTCGCTTATCAATTACTCCATGTGTGTATGTGTATTTATATTACATATTGCTTTCGAAGAATTCGAAGTAAAACTTGTTATATGATATATTATTCTGACAATACATCGTTTTTCATGAATCATATGTTTGAATTATTTATTTTGTGCACATCACGCCTCATAGAATAAATGTGTATCGCGCGGTGCGTCAAAAACGTAATTCCCGCTTGGTGTTTGAAGTTCCGCGTCAGTGGACTTTTTGTTTTTACTTCCGCTGATTGCGAACGTTCCGCTCACTACGGACAATTCATGAAATTTAACTTTTGTTAGATTAGGAAATGAATAAATCAAGCGATTTTAAGACAAAAAAACCACAGATAACGTATTCTTATTGTACATAATGGAATTAAAAAGAAATTGAAACTTTCAACTTTTTTTTTCGAGCAATAATCAATTCTAAAAGAATGAATTTATCGGTGCAAAATATTAATTTATTATAAAAATTAATATTATATTTAAATACAAAATTTAATATTAAATATCGAGAAGACGATGCCTTTTCGGAATTTTTTTAAAGATAAATTTTCAAATGTTACATTTAATGTTTTTCTCTTATCTTTTTATATTAAAATGTGTAAGGAAATTTATTTTCTGAATTTATATTTTCTATTTGTGCTACTATAATATGATATGTTATAATCTATATATATGAATATAATATGAAAATTGTTCACAAAAGGATGACATATGTGCGATTAAAGAAGTTTATATAAATATCTATTATCAAAAACCAACTGCATCCTAAGCAAACTGCATTGTCTAAAACTTCCGGTGCGATAAAAGTCGTTCCAAAAGTTCAGCAATTGTTAATCTCTATTGATTTTTTTATTTAAAAGAAGTTTATGGAAATAAAAATAAACTATATAAAAATAAACTAATAAATAAATAAAAATAACTAATAAATAAATCACTAAAAATAAACATAAAAATAAATCTAAAAATGTTTTTCCAAAAAATTATAAATGATACTTTATTATTATAATTAATGTCTGTTATACAAAAATGTATCGATGATAATTAATAAAAATTTATAAAAATTAATAATTATATAATATTTTTAAATATAGGAAAATAATAAACTTTTTAAATATATTAAGTAAATATATAAATTATATAAATATTAAAATAGAATCTCTCTCACTTTCAAATCTCTCTTCACAAACCCTATTTATGCGAATGAGAACGTAGAACGTTCGGACCTTCGCTTATACTTTAACACGTACTCACTTTAACACGTAATCACGATAAATAGCAATGAGCATAGCATTATGAATGCAAATATTGAGTGAAAATCTTAAATCAGAAAAAAGAAGCCAATTTCGAGAAGAGGAAGATCTAGGAGTCGATTATTGTATATCTTGAAATTGAAGTGAAAATAAAAAAAGTGAACAAAATTATTTGAATACTTATTATTTTATTGGACAATACTTATAGAATTTGTTAATTTTTGTCATTTTCATCTCAGTTGCGTTCGATTTGGATGCTTTCAACGTTTCTATTGTTTTACGTCTAATCTAATGAATGATGAAGATAAAATAAAGGTCAATGCGATACTACAAATGCTTTAAAGCAATTTTTGATTAGACAATTTGTAAAATCCTTTTTTCCAATTAATCAACTAAATGCTTCAAAGCATTTGTAGTGAGACTTTGATCGCAGCCTATGACAGAATGATAAAATTATATGCGCAAAACGCATTAGTGTCTAAATCAAACGTTACATATTGAATCGGTGCAAAAATTTATGCCCGATTTGTAAATAAAAATCAAGCAGTTGTTATTATGAAAAACCGTCTTTATTAATCAATGTATTCGCCATCATTCTCAGCAATCATTTTTCAACGTTCAACCAATTTATAAATATCAAAAAAATCGCGTGATTTTGCGTCAAAGAACACGGTGATGTGATTTTTGATAGCCTCCACAGAATCAAAATTCTTGCAAAATTTCTCAAAATTTAAATCGTTTTGTAATAACTGAAAAAAAAAAATAATTGGAGGATGCGATGTTCGGAGAACAGTGGATGCAATAAGATTTCCCATTTCAACTGTTTCAATTTATCCAAAGTCATTTTCGAAGTGTGTAGTCTGGCGTTGTTATGGTGGAAGATGAAGCCTCTACAATTAACCAAGCTCAGGCGTTGTTTTTTTCTTGTTTTTTGTCAACGAATGTAATATCCAAGTACCATCGAGTTTCAGAGTGAATTCCATCTTTTTTAAATACCGAAACGCGATTGATCGATCAATGTTCAAGGCTTCAGCAGCATCTTCCATCGAAATACTTGCATTGTTTGTTATTAATACGCGCAGAACGTCGTCATCGACATGAAAGGATGAGGTTCGTCTTCGAGATTAAAATCATCACGACGAAATTTAGCAAACCACTTTGTCACCATTCGAAAGTGTACGGTCCAAATAAACCTCCTGAATGTTTTTTGTCGCAGCGCCAACGGCTATTCCTTTTCGAAACTCGTAAAGCATCGGAAGTGCAATTTTCCTTGTTTTTTTTTCAATGATTTTTTTTTACGTTTAAGTTTAACCAAACACTTCTGATGCTCAAATGATAAAGATCCTATAATCGGAGTTTAGCGAATGTGGACCAAAAATGGCAGATAGAAAAGGCCTGTTCTTTTAGGCTTTTGCAGCAGTTCATCTTTCTTCCTTTTCTCTCCAGAAGGAAAGAAGAGAAAGAAAGATGAACTGGTGCAAAAGTTCAGCCAAAAAGAACAGGCCTAAAAAGATAACAGATATTGACTGCATTCAGCGGACTCAACAGTTGAGTGAGCACTCGCTATTAATGTATTCTTCCAGATCTAAAATCTGCTGATTGGATGATCTAAAAGAATACACCAATAACAGCGAATATTCACTCAACTGTTGCATTCGCTGAACGCAGTCATTGCTTTCTCGTATGAACGCATGCGCAAAAAGTGTTAGGGGCCCGCGCTCACAATAAAAGGAACAAGGAAACAGAGAACAAAGAATAAGAATTTCAACCTATCAGAAACTGTGTATTCCATAATACATTTCTGATAGGTTGAAATTCTTATTCACTACTCTCTGTTTCTTATTCCTTTTATTGTGCGGAGTCCCTGACAGGCAATACGTGACGACAATATCTGACGATCCACCAATCGAGTTGATCAATTGTGCAATCATAATTTGTTAATTTTTTCTTTGACCGAGATCTTAGAACGATTATTAACCTTTTTAATACAGATCGTTTTACTCGTCTGTTTGTAACTATCTATTTTTTTCTTTTCTTCGCACTCATTTTCCAACAATGTATGAAGCTATTCGAAGAATATTGAATGAACCAAGATGGAGAATCAATCAGAAGTTGTGCCCGCTTTTGCAAAACTGATTGTAGGATTTCTTAAATGATATCTATGACTGTTATCTTTCCAATGATATAATACATTTTATATATTGTATACATAAATAATAATAAAGTTGCCATGCAACTTCAGTTCAATTTATTCGAATCGATCACGAACTTTTTCACTGATCCAGTATATTATAAATTCTCTTTAAATTTTTGTATGCAATTTTCGAGAATAATAGGGTGCTTCCTATTCATGAACAGTCGAAATTTCGAAAAACAGAATCTCAAAAAAATCATACGAAGTCAGAATTATTAGTTTGTATAATTTGTTAAACCTAGCTAATGAAAGTGGATTAAAATGGATTGAAATTTTTTTCCGAATGCACATTTTAAATACTTTTTTTTGGATTCATTTGGATTCAATTAGATTCAACTGGATGCAATTAGATTAAAAAAACTGCATTTCCCATTCAAAATTTTGAATTGAACAGTATTCACAGTGTGTTTTTTGTGCACAGAAAAAGCTAATATTATTTTTAGATTAAAAGGCATAGAGATATGCTCCATGCAATTCCTATAAATGAATAAAAATACATTCAGGATTGAAAAGCATTCATTTTAATTCGTGCATTCGTGAATCAATATTTCTGAAAATCTAAATCCATTTCAATTTATTTCAATTCACTTTCGTTTGCTGGAAACTTAAAAAGATTCTAATTGGTCGTATGACTTTTCCGATATTCCATTTTCCGAAATTTTGACTGTCATAAGGAAGCATCCTAAGATTCTAGGAATCTCAACTGCGCAAAAACATCACGTATGTGCGGTGAAGAGCAGCGGCAAAAATATATATGATTCATGATTCCTACTCGCACGCATTAGTTATCATTGCATCCGCATAAAAAAAAAAACAGGAAGAGATATTAGAAGAAATCATAAAACCGAAACTCGTCGTCAACCGAAGAATTGTAGAAAAGCAGTAGGATAACGATCGTTATCCTATTTGACCAAGACCCGACAAACGAATCAAACGAATAGCGCCAACATCTCGAATTTTTCGACCAATCGGAAGACGATGTCCAATTAAAAGTCCTGTGTACGCAGGCGTACAGGTAGTGCCACTTTGTGCACTTCTGCGCTATATTCCCGCCAACATGGCAAATATGTCGGCGCTTATGTCGTTTCGGTCGTTTCCCGCCAATCCTTTACAGCACAACCCCGTTAGAGCGCGACGAAGTTTTTGTATGGCGGTGTAAAGAGTGTTTTTCTCGCAGTATTTCTTCTGATTTTTCGTCTGGCTGGATTACATCGTGAAAAAATGGGGCAGTCGGATGATATTGAGGATTCGATGTACGGCCGGCACCAAGATCTTTGCCAAAAGCTGAATATGGACGCGGCCGCCGCGTCCGAGGCTTGGAAATCCTACGAGACTATTCGGCAGAATTATACTCTCGAGGTAATATTTTATTTCGATAGCGCAGCCGTCCCTACAGCATACGATATCGCTTTGCATAAGACGTCGAAGACGATGTCCAGGTGCATGAGTGTCCTTGAATCGCCGATCATCCCTGCGAGATAAACGAAGTTTGGGCGTTCATTTACCTCTCGATTATTCAAAGCGCGACAGACTTATTTAGCTCGTGAATTACAAAAAGATTGTTTTGTAGAAATTGGTAGATTTTATTTTTGCAATATATGTAAATGCACGTATATATGTTTATTTACAGGGACACAATCTTTTCCCTTGTGTTCTTTTATTTCATAGAATTTCATCCCACTTCTATTAATAATATTTCACTTTATTTTAGTCCCAAATAATACTTTAATATATTTGATGTCTGTGTACAATTATTTCAAGAAAGATATTTAATGTATCTTTGCAGGGTGATCAGTTGCATTGGATAGGGTGTGCAGTATATGTCGCTTGTAGAAAATTCTCTATACCCACTGTAGGAAGACCAGGTACTAATGTGGAAGGCAATTGTGTGTCATTGACTAGGCTCCTGCAACTGTGTAATCTTCCATTGATACAATTCTTTACAAAGAGTAAATCATGGGCAGATATGGCAAATATGCCTCAGGATTTCCGAGCCAGGATAGAAAAGCTAGAGGCTAATTTCTCGGTATCTATGGTTATCTTTAAAAAATATCAGCCAATATTTGCGGATATCTTTAAAGATCCACGAGAAGATACCTCGAAACCACATAGATCCAGAAGGCATAAAGCAGTGCCCTGTACACCCACCAGGGTCTTTGAATTTTGCTGGACGCTGTTTATATGCATAAAAGGTGCAATTCATGATATCTCGGACGATCTTGTTAACTCTTATCATCTCTTACTAGTCTGCTGCGATCTTATATATAGTAATGCTCTGTTATCTAACAGAAAAGATTTGTTGAATCCTAATTTTCCCGGTGAGTATTCCAAAATTAGTCTTAAATTGAATATATGTATAATAATCATGATTTAATAAGAACAATTTCATTTTTTTTTGTATTGCAGGCTTACCAACAAATTTTGACGATGATAATTATACTCCGCCACAAGCAGCAAATTGCATTGTTAACTTGTTGTGTGAGCGTCATGATGCAATAGCTGTTGAAGCTAAAGCTATAAAAGAATACTGCATGAAAAATTACATTAACAAACTATTTAATGAGAAAATCTTACGTGGTGATCAGTCAAATTTCTCTGGTATGCTAGAGTCATTGAATTTTGATGGTAACAACAAGGCCATTAACAAGTCTTATGAACAGCGTATGCTAAGTGTTGGAGACTTTGATGAAAGAATTTTCTTAGGTATGCAAATTATTTATAATTAAGATTTTTGCTCTATGTATAGTAATAACTGACGCAAGAACAAAATATATGCATTACTGTAAGTGCTTACGTTATAATCTTGCATGGTCTCTATCGGTTTATTTCGCTTCTGTAAAGTAAATGTCTACGTGACTTGATAAGCAAAAATGTATATACTGCACCATTACTAATTGTTTGTAACTTGGGTTGCGTTTAGAGAATGCGCTGTCAGTACTATTGTATTCAGTCTATCGTTCATTTAGATATACAAGGACATAAAACAATAAAATGATGTGATAACACTGATAGTGTATTCCCCAAACGCAGCCTTTTAATAGTTTGAATCTAATAGCGAATTCGGCTGGATGCATCAGTGCGCACTTAGTGCATCCAATTGATGTCACTACAAATAAAAATTTAATACATTAATCATATAACATTAACATTTTCTTTATTTCTCTTTTTTAATAAACTTATATCTTATTTATGTTATTATTT